AATCGCACAGTCCATACACTGTATTATATACAGGTGTAACTAAAATCAGAAGCAGAACCAAAACTTAGCGTCTGTGTCTGCTATGTCCTGAACGACTGCTGCTATGGTGCTTGCCTTTGTGAGATCTCTCAAAAGAGCGGGATCTTTCACGCCTGTCCCTGTGATGTCCCCGTTCATGCCTATGTTTCTTGGCAGCCTCGGAGTGATCCCTGGATTTACTCTGAGAACGCGAGCGAGATTTTTTCCTTTTGTGACCATGTCTATTTACACTCTTCAACTCATCTCTGCTGTGCTTGGCTTTTAGGTGTGGAGATCCATGATTATGATGTCTGTGAGGACTGCCACTGTGACTACGGGACCTGCTTCTTGACCTTGAGCTGTATGTTCCGGATAGACTCCTCCTATTATTGTAACTTACAAAAAAAAATAAAAATTAGGATGTTTACATCTTTTTACACTGTGAAAATAAAAAAAACTTATACAACTGCCTCGATTTTAAACAGAAAGTCTGTTTTTTTACATGCTGTGGGCAGTGAAGTGTTAACAGTGACATGTCATATAAGTTTGATCACAGATCTGAGATCATTCACATCACTGAGTTACCATTTAAGGCTCTTTACAAACTCCAGCAGACACTGCATTGGTTAAAAACCACCGATAACAGGGTTTTCTTTGCAACAACAGCTAAAGACTTGTACATGTGTTCAACTCCTAGCAGTGCCAAAGATAAATGGGTATCCATAGAACAAGATTTGGTCTCTAAAGCTATACATTTAAATGGCTAACATTTCCACACATTCCTTAATATGGATCTTACATACACTTCAGATATTTGGGAAGGAGGTTACAGCATGCAAAATTTGGCTGCATAAGAGACTCAATTTCTTACAGCACTTTCAGTAAATACAACTATTCTCACAGCTTTAAGGGAAGAGCTTAAGAAAATTCTCATATTTAAAATGGAAAACTTGGGTGCAAGTGATGGTTTGCAAATATCATAAGAGGACCTTACTCTCTGTCACAGGTGAGTTTTGGTATTATAGTTGATTTATCTTTAGACTGTATGAATATTCTTAAACCACGGATTTTCATCCACTACCACGTGCATTTCAGTATCTACTGGATACCAGTACAATTGTGAGATACTGTACTTTGATGGAGAGATTCGCTGTTAGTAAACTAACTATTGTAAGACCATTTACTATATGGAATGGCATTTTAAAACACTTCTTAAAACAAGTAAGTCATTTAGCAATCAAAAAGTACTGTTTTACTTACTGTCTCCTAGGAGTATGCGATCTAGACCGTGACTTTGTTCTTGACCTTGATCTACTAGCACTTCTGCTGCTTCTACTTCTCTTGCTTTCTTTTCTCATGCTTAAATTTAAAAATAAAAAAATAAAAAAAACCTGAAGATTACACTTAGCAAAAACAAATTTATTTTCACAAAACTAGATGGCAAAGTTTAACTTGAAAGTGCCTGACTTAAAAAGACAGATTTTTTCCTACCCATTGTAAGGACTCTCTGAAGCTAGCTGCCTTTCTTCTGGTTCTTTTTTAATAGTTTTAGCATTCACAGATACTGGTGTTTTCTCCTCAGTTTTCATTTCTCTTGGGGAAGCTAAGAATGAGAGCAAATAATTCAAGGTTAAGATGTTATACACTAGCAGTAGAATTTGCCATCAAGGAACAGGATTTTTTGGTACATTTTATGCAAGTGCTAACTTTATATAAGTGCTAACTAGAAACTTTTAATGCTGACTGCTTCTCTTCCTTTCCATTTGGTAGCTGCTCCTGTAAGTGAAACTACTACATTAAAGACACCAGTAAAATCTTTTATTTAAGTAGTCTGTAAATCATACGATGAGGAGAAGTACACTAATATGTTTCTTTAAAGATGCATTTATCCTTTCGTCCAAGGCACACGTAATAGGCACAAATTATGAAACAAGATGAAGTATGTCTCTCCATCAAGAGTAAATACCCTGCTCTAACCTGCTCCCTTCACATATACTTCTTAGAACCCTGGGAAAATAGATGGCTCTTGCACCTTGTCCTGAAGTCAGAATTAGGCTGTTGGAACAAAATTTGAGAACAGAAGCCAGTTCTAATTGGCCTCATTCAGAGCTGCAGACAAGGTGTTCTTGCTTAGTTAAGATAAGATATGAAACTTATCTTACTACAGTAAAATCTGTGTTTGGCATGGGTTTAGTCAAAAATTCTGGTTAACTAAGACTTATACTTACCAATGGAGGGAGAGTCTGGGTCCGGGAGGGGGCGCAGGCTCTCAGAGGGAGTTGGGGGGAAAGGGGGAGCAGCGCTCAGGGCGCAGGCTCTGGGAGGGGTTTTGGGGTGCTGAATCCAGGCAGCGCTCACCATAGGTGGCTCCCCACAATTGGCAACATGTCCCTGCTGCACGGAGGCGCGACCAGGCAGCTCTACATGCAGCCTCTGCCTGCAGGTGCCACCCCTGGCAGCTCCACTGGCCACGGTTCCTGACCAATGGGAGCTGCGGAGCTGGCGCTCAGGGATGGGGCAGTGCACGGAGCCCCTGTGGCCATTCCTCCACCTAGGAGCAGCCAGGACATGTTGCCGCTTCCAGGTAGCCCCACAAAGCCAGGCAGGGAGCCTGCCAGTCCTGCGCCAACCATACTTTTAATTTGTATTTGGAGATATCAGAAATGTCGGGTTTCTAGAGTGTTCTGGTTAGTAAAGTGCTGGATAACACAGCTTCTACTGTACTAGCTTGAGCACGTAAGCTTATGGAACCACACAATCAGGTCATCTAACCAAGAGCAAAACATTTTGGGTCAGTGCTTCGGAGCTGGGCTCCGGCCCTGCTCCAGCTCCAGGCAAAAACCTGCCGCTCCACTGCTCCACAGTTGCTCCGTGCTCCAGCTCCGTGCTCCGCTCCAAAGCCCTGTCTAGGGTTTCATTTCAAAACCAATGCCATGAATTGCACCACATACTGGATGTTATTTGAGAAGAAGGTTTAAATCTTATGCCTCAAATCGCCAACAGTAGAATTACCATTAAAAAATGAGTTGCTGGCTTATTCTGAATGCCCTCAAATCCCAATTTCACTCAGCTAACCATGAATAAAATTATCCCTTCACCCTCTCTTTAGGAGTCCATAAGGGAATTTTGCATGCACTACTTCAAAGAACTTTCAAAGTTCAACCATATTGCTAGTTCTCAAGGAATAGCTGTTGTTACTTTGAAAGATAGAAACAAAACAGAAATTTAGTTTCTGTACGTTTGCTCCAGTTTTCAGATAATGTACTGTAATCATTTATTGTGCGTTTGTACATTGCCTAGTATAATCATGCTCAACCTAGCTGTGCCCTGTAAGTGCTACTGGAATTTAAATGTTAAAAATATCATTGAAAGACAGATCTATTGGCAAAAAGTTAAGACTTGTATGCTCTAAACTGACAGGATCCCTTTGAAGTTCTTTACTACATAATTTTAATTATTGGCTAGTCTGTTAAACGTATAACTAAAGCTATGTTCTATGCACCTATTCTACATTATCATCAAGACAACACTGCTACTGGAACTTCCATTTCTAGATTTTGAATTGTTCACATTCACAGCTTTGAATTGCAGTGGTCCTACTGTACCTTGATGGATAAACACGAATTGAAAAAGATGTTTTAAAACAACACTTGTTAGAAATGCCTAGCACAAGGAAAACAATGAACAGGCACATCAGTTAAAAGATGAGTTGAGTTGTGTCACGTGACTAGGTTTCACGTTAACAGCGTCACTTTAAATATTCCACTGCATTTCAGAAACACTGGCATATGAAAATCCCACTTACTCACACAAGCCATAATTACAAGCTTTCAATATTTATTGTGTACTTCCACAGTAAAAATACAGTGATGCATATGCTGAATGTGTACCATTAAGCGACATTAACCAAGTAGTATTACAGAATGACCATCTAATCGGTATTGCAATTTTTCCTTCAATATCACCCATTATTGGCAACCTCCAATAATGTATCAATGAAAATCCAGTAACCAAAAGTAATTAAAATGTTATCCTCTAGCTTTAACCATATGAGAAGTTTTAGATAACTTCACAACTCTCAGTGGAGAATGAGAAATTTTACATCTCATTCTTTCTACTGCATCAAGGTATAGAATCATAAGAGATTCATTATATATAGACATCTTCCTACAGCACTGTTCCTTGCATTGTAACTTACATGGTTTGGAAGCAGGAGAAAAGCCACCCAGTGTTGAGAGAGCTGGAGTACCATCTGGATTTAATCCTTTTGCTTTAAGTTTAGCTTCCTGTAATGCCATTTTTCTCTTTTCTACTTCTTTATCCAGCAATTCATAATTAGGCTGTTTAAGAGAGGAATATGCACGGTCAAGATTTTGGACGAAGATTACTCTAGTCAATATACCACACCTCTTATGGTATCTGACACCCATACATTAAACATGACCAACATCTGTCATACGTGATTCGCTCTTTCATGCTCTTCCTCAAGGAGGGAATGGTGACTATAGGGGAGCTTTTGTCTGGTAGAGTTTTAATTGTGCATGTTATATATGTGTTCAAACTCCATCACCCCCCCCACTTAGCAATGCTGGCTTTACTTTCATTTAAGTCAGTCAATTCTAAAAACAAGTTACCTTTTTCCTAGTATAAAGCTTCAGAGTGGTTATACATATCTCCTGAATCTCATCTTCTGTGGTGCCAAAGAGTAGAAACCAATGAGGACGGGTAGGCAGGGGAATCTAAAAAAAAAAAAAGACAGAATTAAGCCTTAATATCTAAAGATCAAAGAAATCTGACCTTTAGCATCATTACAGATGTTTTCCAGGAACAAAAACAAATACACCAATCCCAAGCGATTTAACAACACAGATATGCTTACCTGAAGAGCTCTAGCAGCAAGATAAATACAAGCACATGCTATTGTCTCTGGTTGAAAACGAACGAATACATTAGTTCGAAGACTGTCATTCATGTAATTCCTAAAAAAAAGTTAATTACAAGTTTGTCTCATGTTCACTTATCACCTTCAGTTTAAAGAAGCAAAACTGGAGACTCAATCTACTTTATTATTTTTTCTTTAACTTACATATGCTTATTGCCTTTTTTTAGACTGTAGTACTACCACCACTGTAGTTTTAAAGGGTTTAACATTTTGAATTTGTTGCTTCACTTTTGTAACATCAAATATGCACCATTGTCATTGCTCTGAAGTCCCAATGCAAGAACTACTTCTCACTTAGAAACAGAACTCTGAATGTCACCAAATGAGGGATTTTTGCAAATGTTATGGTTAAAATTGATTTTTTTCCCCAAATACTTTAGGATATTCTATGAAGTGTCCATCAAGCTAAACTTTACAAATCTATAAAGTCCAAAGAATAGTTTGTCCAGTTATATGATGGGCCAAGCATGTTTTTCTATAGGTGTTTACTGTCACTTAAACAATGAAAGCCCTCTACCCAAGAGGTAAATCCTTTTTTGTCTGAAACTCAATTGTGTAAGAACTGCTGTACTTTTATATCCACTACCATTATGAGGTAGCTAAAGATACGACCAATAAAGTCTTAAATTTTACACATAATACACCAGTTCTGTTTCAACTTTATTTATTCTATTTTGTATGCAGATAACCATCTGCTTATTTTTAACTTTATTCAACACAAGGTTAAATGGTTGACACAGGGCAAGCAACTAACTACATCTTTCAATAATCATTGGGACTGGTTACTACAAATTGCACAGTTAACTTCACCAAATTATAGTACTTTTCCTCTACCAAGCTAGTATTGCCAAGTATTGTTATGACAATAATGACTTTTGAACTTCAGGGACAGCTCTACAAATTTATAAACACGTGAATTACAGAAGTTAACAGCACAACCAATCACCAGTGACTTATATAAAATGGTGCCCAACGTTCAATTTCTAAATATTATGATAAGAAAGTATGAGCATGCTGTATTCACTTTAAGTAACTTTGTAATCCAAATTTAATTAAGTCAACTGAATCCATATTGGTTGAAAGCAGTCAATCCAAAATGTGTCCATGGGTCCTTTAGATACACTAAAGTACAGTAGGTAGGCAACAAATATACATTTAGAAACATGTTGAACAGTTACTTCTAGAAGCAAATATACAAATCCTTTTGACACCCGGACAGAACTAGAAGATGCTGCAAGATGGATATGGACCACTTCAGTGAATCTCGGGATGAGAGCTTGCACTGGATTGACTGGAGAGAAGGGCAGCCAATCAGGCCATCCCCAGGTGAGCTGTGGTGCAGAGGGCAGAGTTCTATGACTTACCATCATGGACTACCCTTTAATTAAAGAGTAGAAAAAAGAACAAAGTTAAATTGAGTTCTCCATTAAAGTAAGTTAATCAAACCATGAAAATAGTAAGCAGAAACAAGCATTAAATGCATTGTGAAATATGTATATTTTAATCTAGTAACTTACAGCTCAATGCTTTGCATATGGGACATCAAGCTTGTTATTTCTGCTACTATTTTCCTGGCTAGGAAAAATGGAAAAGAATAAACTTACCAGGCTGTCTGAACGAGGGTTTGATTACGTTCACATTCTAAGACTTGTAAATACATAACAATGATCTGAGGGATAAGAGAAAAACTTAACTTTAACACAGGAGGAAAAGTGATAGATGCATGTTTTTAACAAACAATTTTCTTATATTTTTACATGGTCGTGTTCTACTTCAATCCCACAGCAAAGGCTGAAAACCCATACACACCTAGTTCTTGTTGTCCATTAAACATATCCCCAGTTTTACGACTTTTACATATGACTGTCACCTCTGCCATAGTGTAGGCAAGTGACTTCTACCAGAACAAACTGCAAGCTACTAATCAGCCAAATGTTTCAGCTGTGTGGACAATTAACTTCAGTTACCTATAGAGGGGTGTGGGAGAGAGACCCCAAGTCAATTCCAAACCTGCATTTCTTCTATTACAGCTCACAAAGATGCTGTCAAGGCAGCTCAATACTTGCAAGTATGTATTTCATTTGACAACTCACCTTATGTGGATGCTTGACATGAACACAAAATCCCAACTCCTTCAGTACCCTCCTTTCAGCTTTGATTACTTGATTTTTGGTGTTTATGTAGTTCTGATCAAGTATCAAGGGGCTTGGAGTCCTATAGTTTGTAAGAAATAAAATCAAAACTGTTTTGCATATCCAGAATAGTTGTATCTCTGTTTTCCCTTCCAACCAACTAATGGCAACAGAAACCTGTTTTAAACTCCTGCAAGCAAGTTTAAGCATTAATCTTGTGCTGTCCAAGTTTAAACTAGTTTAGTTTCAACCTGTAATTCCTGTAGCTGAGCTCTGATTGTAGCTAAACTAAGACTGCCATCTTGCTAACATTACTCCTGTGTTACTGACTGTGCAAACTGCCTTCCAGTATCAAAACTAAAATAATGTGATTTACAATTTATAATGCAAATTTCAAACACCTACAGTACCAACATTTGAAAGTGATCAATGATAATAATCTGAATACACTAATATTTCCTCCAGCAAAAAGCTTGTTTAACTATCTAAGTGCTGTATCAGCTAATACTAAGTTTAATTTAAGCAAGTTCATGTTTTATTGTATTGGAACTACCTATGCATAGGATGAAAGGAAAGAGTCCATATCAAAATTTGAAAGAAAGCAAGTGTGCCAAGATCAGATTTAAAGGGAGTAAACAGAATTTCTAAGGGAGTTTCAAGAGACCACCAGAGACCTCTGAGCAAAGAGGACTCCCAAAATTAAACACTGTGGAGCATCTTATTGCTCAAAGCAGGGCACCAAAAAAAGGAACAACCCACCTGAATACTGAGCTATTAGAAAAACTAACGGGTGCAGTTCAGTACATCAAACGTTTGCAAGGTAAGAACTCTTCACACAGAAAGATACACAAACCTGGTACGTCATGCAATTTCCAATCTCACAGTCCTCCAATATATTGTATTCAGGTAATTAAAAATGTAAAGTCTTTAAACAAAAAAACCCCACCACACAGGCACCAATTACTGCACAGTAGAGCACCCAAGCAACATATCCTGTTTTGTTTATTTCTCCCTTTGTCTAGGCTTTTTGCTCCCTAACTCATTTTCTTCTACAATTTTTCTTTATACAGTTGATTTAGCTTACAAGGTCTTAGAGCAGGGGCCTGTGTTATATGCCTGTAATGTGCACAGCATATTTTGGGTGCTATACAAGTCAAAGGATAACAGTTTATCCCCTCAGTAAATAATTATACTGCAAAAGAGTTAATCAAATTGCATCATCTAATTTATCTCCAGCATTCCCAGCAAAACCTTTCTACAATATTATGATCTGACTGCAAAGATGCAATATATACCAATACAGAAAGACTGCAGATACAACTCAACATAATAAATATAACGTAACATGTGATTCTTATAACACCTCTTTCAGAGATCACGCATATTTGGCAAGACACTCACTTCTTCCAGCTGGACCACTGAGGGAAGCAATTCATGGTCTAGTTCCCCCCTGCTGGCAGGATGGGACCAAATATATGGCAAGATCAATTTTGGAATACCATTGACATTTGGATTAACTGTATGACCTGGAAGCACACTGAATTACTAATTCCATGACAGCTCAAAATTTGTCATTAAACTGCATTTTACTGATATAGATAACTACAAGAATCTCAAAGAACGTCTATTCAAGAACTACTGTATCCTTCAAACTGACAGTCTACTTTGCTAATAAGACATTACATTGTTTAAAGATGAGCAGGGTTAGTCTATTTTTTGTCTAAGTCCAGACTCCAGAGAAAATAAAGTGTGTACACACACACTCTAAATAGAGAATTAATAATAAGTAAAGATTTTGGGGTCCATTCAAAAGTCTGGATTTGGCCCGCAGTCCACATATTGACTATCCCACTGCACCAAAGCATAATCACCTATGTTTTAAGCAAGAATAACTCATTTATGAACTAGTTATACTGAAGGAAAAAACTCAAATGTTTGTTTTTTTAAAGTGAAGCTGAAAAAGTAGTATCTCAATTCTGTATAACTGTCACATGTTTAAGATAATCATCATCATGTATGTAAGGTAAAAAGCAGCAAGTTACCAAGTCTGAAAACAAACTCATCTGAATCTTCTAAAGGGATAGAAATACCTGAGGATGAGTGATTATGCTATCATCTTATTAAATCTGTTTCCCACAGACAAGTAAATATTTGACAATGACTCGCATAATAAGGACAGACTACATGCAGTTTATTCCACTTCAGATACTGCAAAGATTACAACCCAGTTATCAAAATATCACCTCTTACTTTTAGGAGGGGATCATTGCTAAAGTAGAAATTTTTGACGAACTATTAGGTCATCAGGGATTCAATACTTTTAGGGTCTCCTGATGAGTTTTAAGATACACTGAGACTTATCTTAAATACTTAGGGTGGGATTTTAGGTTAGTTAGAAAAGTAGGCTTATTCTGAAGCCTAGTTAGAGCATTTCAGAGACAGTAATAGACTCAAACAAAATATAATATAACCAAGTTAACAACCAAAATATTAGCAAAGCCACTATGTTTCAAGGCAAAAACCTGTTTAGCTGCACCTACTCAACTCCTTGTTAGTAGTATGCTATTTTGTGATAAGGGACGGAGAAACATCTCACTCAACACTTAAGTCCACAAAAAAGTCAAGACCCAGTCTGAACATTTTTATAGGCCTACTATACACATTTGTGACAGCAGTTCATAAACAATGGTTATTTCCTATCTTCCATTAATATAGGCTTTGCAAAGATGAATTGTCAAACTACATAAGAAACTCGAGCATATTATGAAGACCTACAATGCTATCCAGACCTATTACCACCAGAAAGATTAGAAAGTAGTTATAAAGTACTCCATATTTGTATTCTGATTTTCCGAGGTGCTGAGTACTTATAGCACCTACTTGAGCAGTAGGCCCTCAGCACAGAAATGACAGGGAAAGGATGATAATCAAGCCATTAAAAGATGTCTGTTTTACTCAGTTGCTCAGACATGCACCATGCTCATCAAGGACATCAGTTTTATGGTACTACAATCCAAACAAAGAGTCCAGAGAAAGAACTTATGTTCATAGCATCTAGACGAAGAAATGGAAAACTTATGAGGTACAATTTAGGATTTATCTACTTTATCACAAATATGATTCTGCATAAAAGGCAGTCAACTGTGACCTACCGGTGGCAGAAATTAAGAATAATCAGGAATTTACACCATTCATTAAAATGGCACGTTCGTTCTAAAACTTCCTAATTTGCACCTATCTCCTGGTAAGAGGAAAGAAAAAAAGTCGCCACTGCTTCTGCCTGCAAATGTCCTCAGTCAGAAGAATTTTCATTTTGCGCAATACTCTGAATAGCCATTTTGCTGCTGGTCTGAAGGGGCAGGAAGGGGAGAAGATCAAGCGCTTCAAGGACAATTGAGATGCCTACCCTCCCTACACCTCAGAAGTGCTCCCCAAATCAGCTTTCGGATTCTCTCCCTGAACATTGCACCCAACAGTCTACCTTGCAATATCATCATTTCAGTTAAAGTGCCAAGTTTCACTACAAAATAAATATGTACACAGAACATGGAGCTAGCGGCCATAACCTAGATAGCCTAACATTAAAGGTTAGTCATAAAACAAACTATGACTAGTGAATCAGGCCATAAAACGAGGACGTTTTGTAATACTAATAATTAAATGAACTGTCAAGAGTTCAGTCTTTTCTATCTTCTACCACTCCTAATTGGAATCACCACCTCTTTGATACTGACCTTAGAACATTTTTTCCCTCTTTCCATTAGAAAGCAGATGGATAAGAGAAACAGAGGATGAAAGAAAAACTCTACCTTTCTACCATTTGTAAACATTAAAAATACCTCACACCACAGATGTGATCCACTCAGACCACTCATTGCCACTGAAAGAGCCTGAAATGTCACATTATTTAATGTGACAAAAGAAGAAATGAGAGTTCTATTTTGTGTGATATTCTAACTGAAACACTGCAGGCGTCAAGATTTGCATATATTACAAGCCAATGTCATGAAGTTATTTCACTGATAATGTGAAAATAAGAGCAGCTTCCTAAAAGCTTCCCTTAAATCAGTTCATAAGACTATAAAACTGATGTCAGAGAAGAAGTGGGTGTTTATAATATAATATAGTTAGCAAAAACCCAGGGCTATAACCCACATCAACTGCAACTTATGTTCTACATGCTAAACACAGCTCAACATATGCAGTCAAGTATGTTTTCAGATATTTCAAAAGAACAAGTTCTTAGCATGCTGATATGAAAAACAGGCTTTCAATTTAATACCACAGAGACTTATTCATGCACACAAAAATTTTATGTACAATACTCCATGGCATATTGTCACAGTGAGAATACAACAGAAGCATTTATTTGTCAAAAAACTACTTTTAGCCCTGTGCCTACTACCTAGAGGTTGACCAAAGGCTTTGTATGAGCCTCTGGGCTTGAGAATTCAGACATCTGAACCCCAATCATGCGAACACATGCACAGGAGGGGTAGTTAAAAAAATCTTCTGGCATTAAGCACAGCCTTGTACTTAGTCAGGGCCTTTTTTGTATTCTTGAACAAGGTTTATATGTCAAATCTCAATCTTAAGAAGCAAAAGTTGGAACTAGGAACCAGTAAGTGTCTAAAGGATATAAAGAATGAATATTTAATACTTCAATATGCTTTTAGAAATCAGAGTTTTAGTACTTTACAGATAAAGTTAACAGAAATTAGACTAAGGCAATATGAAAACTAAGTGTAACATAACTAGAACTAGATCAATTCTTCTTGTGTCACGATGTCAGTGAAAATTCTAAATAGAGCCTAAGTGTTAGCTTCAAATAAAAAAACAGTAAACTAATATACTAAAAACCTGGACAGCAAAGAAAAAAGCTTATAACAAGATACAGGAGTTCTTCCAAATGGTTCACCAGCGGCCAACCTGTTAGTCCCCCGATTCCAGTGACCTATTCTCAGAGCACTGGCTTCTCCTTGGGGATTTTCGATACTTCACTCACTGTTGCCATGACGACAGCTTCATCTCTATGTACCACTCCACATCACCCAGGCTTTGGTAAATGTAGCTGGTCGCTGTATAGTCGGTTGCAAGGGAAAAAAGAGCTGAAGTTAATAACGTGTACAGTTTACGTATTAGTAAGCTTGTAAAAAGTACAGAAAAATGTTTATATCCAGCTTGTTTTAGAAAAGCAAGCCTGAGTGTCACACTTAGACATTAAGATTAATTTCATGCAGATTCATTTCTCAGAATCTTAAGGCAATGATACCCATTTTGCTACAAGTGAATTAACAAATGGGTCAAGAAGTGATCTTTGTCTCTTTGGGCATGATGCATTGTAGACACCACTTAACATATGTAATTGATAATCTGAATTGGAACAGGCTGTCTGGAAAAAAAAATTTATAAGTAAATTTGTTTCTCTGATCCTTCCAATACTATATAAAAAAGTTAACTCATTCTTATTCTCATAGCACAGAAAAGCATTTTACATCCCCAATTAACCTTTAGCCTCTGGTTCAAAGCTGAGACATTAAGAAGTGAACCAGTTTTAGTAATCAAATAAGAAGCTTCCTTTGTCGTAATTATGGTAAATAGTAATCTTCAGCAGATTCCATGGAATCCAAACTCTGCAAATTTACAGAATTCTCCCAGTACCAACAAGTACAAAAATCATTAGTTCCTCATTTTAAAAAACTAGGTTCCATTCAAATCAGACACGGATAGTCCATTTTTCTATTACTAAAACGGACTTTAAAGAGGTGAGAATGTGGCAATAAAAGAAGACGGTTTAACATAAACTGGCTATATTTATGCATTGCAAGTACTGAATATGTAGAACAAATTCACCATAAATACAACTCATTTCCCTAAAATTTTTCTACTCCACTTCTTCAAAGAGTCAAGTTGTAGAATTTTTTTTAAATTCCCCTTTCACCTGGCAAGACAGAATACAGAAGAAAAGAGTTCTATTTTTAACTAGTAGAAAAGAAAATCTTTCAGAACTTTAATTTACTGTATTCTGTATCTTTCAACGTAGTCAATACAACTAGGTACGTTTACTAGAGACAAGATGGGTGAGGTAACTGAAATGACTTCATTAACATCTACAGAAAGTCTGCATTACTGTTTAAAAGCCAGGTTTAAACACTGCCTTGTTGTGAAATATTTATTGGGCATTACTCCCCTTCAAACACATTCCTTGCACCTTCTTTAACCTAGTAATGTAACTTTGCTTTACACTTAAAAAGCCAAAAATTAAGCACTCAACTGAAAATGGTTCTACAAACTAAAAGCAGAATCACCACAGAATCACATACAGATCAGCTAAATGAATATAAGGTTCAATTTTACAGATTTGAAAGTTCTCACTGTACCATTAAAGTACCACTCTCAGGTTCTACATTCACAGGTGCACTCAACTTCCAAGATTCAATCCTACATTCCTTGCTGATGTGTCATTAAAGCGCCATACACTGTAGATCTATTCATACTTTCCACTGCCTCTTTATTATACTGCTTTCTCACCACAAATACTGTTATATTTATATACTTCAGTCTATTTTACTGTCTATGGTAGCCAAATATAGAGAATATTCTAACAAGATACATCACTAAGCTATACTACAGAATTATTTAATTTGCACAAAGAACTTATAGCAAAGTAGACCTACACTAAAGATTATAAAAATCAAAAAGAATACCAAATAGTCCGCCAGCTAACCAAACTTATACCTGAGACTTCCTTTCAGAAACGCAAAGACCCCCAATTCAATTAGGGACAGACTTTACATTGGAACAAATGCTCAGCCTTGCAACTATATGAACCATGCTTTCAGAGCAATATATTTCTGCTTTTGCCAAATCACCAAAGTCACATTGATAGAAACCAGCTGAAGAAACGTTAATGTGTACGTAATAACCAAGGATCACACCCTTCTCAATTTTAGGGTGTTGGATTTAGCCTGGAAGATCAAACTGGTTTGATAAATCTGGCATATATTACAGTGATAGTGGGTGGATATACTGAAAATGGAGCTAGTCTTACCTTTTTGCTCTTAACTGGCGCAAATGATGAAAGACATTTATCACATCTCTTATACGACGAGGTGCTTCTTCAATTTTGGAAGCGAGATTGATGCAGGCCATAGCAACAATCTGAAAAGAAGCCCATTTCCGTAAGACAGAGATATGTACGTCCCATTGGACACGTTACACAATCAGACGGAGAAACCACCCCCTAAAAGCTGAAAAACGCAGCTTTGCCGACTCTTCCCTAAGGAAGTGCAGGGAGGGTCCCGGGCAGGGCTAGTGCCCTCCCGCAGTTCCCATGCAGATCGGAGCCCCACAAACCTGGGACTAGGCGAAAGCCTCAAGCAGCCCGCGCCCCACCCCAGGCCCAGCGAGTCCGCCGGCCGGCCGCAACTCACCTCGAAATTGTGTTTGACGAAGGACTTGGAGTAGAAAAAGCGGTGGAACAGCACTTGCCCCGTCGCCATCGCCACCTGCGAACACAACCCCCCGGCGCGGGGGAGATGAGCCGGCTCAGTCAGCTGCACGGGGCGGGAGCGGAGCCGGCTCAGCGCCGGCTCAGCCATCTCCCCAGGAGAGCCGGCTCCGGCACTAGGCCGCCGCCATTTTGTGTCAAGCACCCAGCTGCGCCCTCGCTCTCCCCCTCCCCCACTCCGACCTCCACACACAGGCGCGCCCTCCCTGCAGCGTCTCCTCGCCACAATGGCGGCGCCACCCCTCGCCCTGCGGCCCAAGCCGCGCGGTGACCTTCCGAGGACAGGGCCTCCTCACAACCCGAGCCCCGGCTTAAGGCCAACGGGGCGCGCGGGGCCGCCTCCCGCCGCCCAGCCCCGCAGGAGGGGGCGCTCCAGGCCCAGCGCTTACCTGCGGCAGGCGGAGGAGGATCCCGGCGGCCTGGATGAGCTCGCAGCCCAAGATGCGCAGGTCGGTCTCGCTGTGCAGGTCCAGGCCGTCCTGCATGGAGGGGGTGGGCGAGAGCCGCTCCTCGGGGATGAGCGAGTGGTCGATGGTGAGTGACACCTCCGAGTACAGCCGGTCCCCAATGAGGATGCCGGGGGCTGCTGGGGCCGGAGGAGGCGCGGCGGGAGCGGCAGCCGGAGAAGCGTGAGTCGCAGCAGAGGCCATGATCGCTGAGCACAGAACCTACCGCACCCGGAGCCGGCCACGCAGAGAACAACCCGGCTTCCAGTGACGCAGCACACGGCGGCGCCTCCGCGCGGTGCGCACTAGAAAAAAAAGTCCCGCTTCGCTTGCGCAACTGGGCCGCACGTACCGCCTCAGCGCCGTGGTGACGTGTTCAGGAACGTATTAGGGCCTGCGTGCCCACGGTGGGCGGGGCTACGCCATGGACCCCTTTCGCTGCTGGCCTGCGAGAGGTGGACTAAGAATAGGAACGCGGGGCCCGAACCAGAGCACAGCGCTGGGAGCCAAGACTCCGGGTTCCATGCCCAGCTCTGTCACAGACCCAGCGCCCCGGAGGAGGGGAGGATGCGTGCCTCAGTCTCCTCATTCTGTAAAATAGCTGTAATCACACCCCCCCTTTGTGAAGGGCTTTGGGACCATCAGACGGAAGGTGCTAATACATTAAAGGAAAGGAGGACTTGTGGCACCTTGGAGACGAACAAATTTATTTGAGCATAAGCTTTCATGAGCTACAGGTCACTTCATTGGATGCACTCAGTGGAAAATACAATGGGGAGATTTTTATAGAGAGAGAACATGAAACAATGGGTGTTACCATACACACTGTAACCAGCGTGATCACTTAAGGTGATGTATTACCAGTGGGGTGGGGGGGGACCTTTTGCAGTGATAATCAAGGCGCGCCATTTTGACAAGACCATCTGAGGAACAGTGCGGGGGGGGGGAATAAAGGTGGGGAAATAGTTTTATTTTGTGTAATGACCCATCCACTCCCAGTCTCTATTCAAGCCGAAGTTAATTGTTTCCAGTTTGCAAATTAATTCCAATTCAGCAGTCTCTCCTTGGAGTCTGTTCTTGAAGTTTTTTTGTTGAAGTATTGCCACTTTTAGGTCTGTAATCAAGTGACCAGAGAGATTGAAGTGTTCTCCAACTGGTTTTTGAATGTTACAATTCTTGGACAGGCCCAACAAAGAAAATAACAGAACGCCACTAGCTAACACCTTTTGCCCCCAACTAAAACCTCTCCAACGCATCATCAAGGATCTACAACCTATCCTGAAGGATGACCCGTCACTTTCACAGATCTTGGGAGAAAGGGCAGTCCTTGCTTACAGACAGCCCCCCAACCTGAAGCAAATACTCACCAGCAACCACACAACAGAACCACTAACCAAGGAACCTATCCTTGCAACAAAGCCCGTTGCCAACTGTGTCCACATATCTATTCAGGGGACACCATCATAGGGCCTAATCACATCAGCCACAGTATCAGAGGCTCGTTCACCTGCACATCTACCAATGTGATATATGCCATCATGTGCCAGCAATGCCCCTCTGCCATGTACATTGGTCAAACTGGACAGTACGTAAAAGAATAAATGGACACAAATCAGATGTCAAGAATTATAACATTCAAAAACCAGTTGGAGAACACTTCAATCTCTCTGGTCACTCGATTACAGACCTAAAAGTGGCATTACTTCAACAAAAAAACTTCAAAAACAGACTCCAAGGAGAGACTGCTGAATTGGAATTAATTTGCAAACTGGATACAATTAACTTAGGCTTGAATACAGACTGGGAGTGGATGGGTCATTACACAAAGTAAAACCATTTCCCCATGTTTATCACCCCCCCTCCCCCCCACCTCTCACTGTTCCTCAGATGTTCTTGTCAAGTGCTGGAAATGGCCAACCTTGATTATCACTACAAAAGAGTTCCCCCCCACTCCACCCCCGCTCTCCTGCTGGTAATAGCTCATCTTAAGTGATCACTCTGGTTGCAGTGTGTCTGGTAACACACATTGTTTCATGTTCTCTATGTATATAAATCTTCCCACTGTATTTTCCACTGAATGCATCCGATGAAGTGAGCTGTAGCTTACGAAAGCTTATGCTCAAATAAATTTGTTAGTCTCTAAGGTGCCACAAGTACTCCTTTTCTTTTTGTGAATACAGACTAACACGGCTGCTACTCTGAAACCTATACATTAAATGTGGTACCTTGTAACATGGGATAAGCAGCAATCCGTTCATACCTGCTCAGTCATTTGGGAACAAACGGGGGGCACAGGCAGAGCTGGGATGCTGTAGTAATGATGCTACGCACCTACTGGTAAAGCCTGGAGGAGGTTTACAGTCCAGCACCCTTGGTAAAAATAATGCATTAGGAATTGAGAAGGTCAGAACCAGACTCATGCTTCATATGTGCCATAATTTCCTACAGCATGCTGCCGCATAATTTGTGTGATCTCTGTTCCAAACCTATTTATTTGTAATGGTTCTAGAAAAATATTATTGGGTGAAACTGATATTTTGAAATAATGGTCCTTCCTTTACATTCAGGAGGCCCCAACTTTTACGATAAGACCAAGCCTTGTCCAAATGATAGTGCCATCATAATAAGCACAGACAATATATTAAAGTTAGGATTCTGTCAGTATTTTAATTACAACCTTTTTCTAGGGAGGGAGTAGGGGAAAAATAAAATTAGCTCATGTATGAATTAAAACAATCCTTCCTAAAATCCACTGTTTGAAAAATAATATGTATAGCTATTTTTTATTAATAAAAATACCAACTTTACGAAATTTGCTAAACGCTGTATAAGTACTGAGCTCATAGATTCAGAATTTATTAAGATGCTTACCCTAGGGCTTGTGGATTTTTATGTCATCTTCTCATCTTTGTGGGGAAACGTCTCCTCTCTCTCTCTTCCCCAGTATTCCAGTTCCTCAAAATAGCCATAACAAATCCCCATAAATCATAAACACAGAAGAGTCTTGAGGACTGGCCAGGATGAACAACAGTACAGATGATATTTATCCTGTTCCTCTCTGTCTGATACAGGGTTGATCTCAGAACTTGAGAACAATTATGGTCCTCTTGGCAGTCTTCATTGAGTTATTTAAGTCTTATCCTATTCACTAATATCCAAACAATAAATACTTAACTATAATCCACAGCAGTGTTTTATTACAGAGTCTCCTAATCCAAATTCATTCCTTTTGTGTTGTCAGCATTTCTGTATTTATTTTAACCTCTCTAATTTAGATTTATTGGACAAAACTCATCCTAGTGAAATCTGTGGAGTTACAGCAGGGGTGAATTTGACCTCATCGCGCTACCATTCCCGTTTTTCATTTTTGTGTAGGGGCTTTTGAGGGGCAGCCCATGTATTTGACAGCTCTTGCAAATTAGCAGAGGGGGCTGAACCTCACTGAGTGTTGTGCCTGACAGGGGGTGGCGGCAGTGTTAGTAGCTGCCCACTCTTCTTGTAAAGGTCATTAAACAACCTCCTCAAAAATGCTAACAGTCCTTTTGCCATCTGTGAGGCCCCACTGGCTGAAGTATTTTGTCATGCCTCTTTTCCCATCAGCCTTCCCAAGCTAGGGGCTGGGCTCCAGGATTCCAGCTGCCAAACTTCAAGTGAACCTGCTGCTCCCAACATTCTGTGCTCCTGATTGGGGCTTACCTCTGCCAGTCCAGTATAGTCATGGAGCAGGACTCTTACAAATCCCCATTCACAGCCCACTCTTCTTTCAAGCTTCTCTTCTCTAATGCAGTGGTATAACCAGTCACAATTTTGGTACTACTGTCAGCCTGTGGGGCAGGAAAGCTGTCGTTACTGTGCAATGAGACTGAGGCAGACCTGCCTCATGGAAAAGGAAAGTATTAAAAGCCACATACAAACCTGCCTGGTAGCTGAAGGGAACATTCACATCACACCCACATATAGTCTGACCTGATCACTTTTAAGGTGGGAAAGGAACACCCAGACCTTCCTAATTACTCTCTTGGGTTGGTAGGAAACACTTACGCACACATAAAGACCTGCCAGCTCACTCTGCTAGAAAAGAAGGAAACAACAATACACAGTCCTGCCTATTCGCTCTCATGATGGGGGAGAGGAAACTATCACACCCACAGCTACATACAGGCCTGTCATAGTGGAGAGTGAGCTCATAATAATAACTTGAATTTATTACAGCAGTTTTCATCCTAAGTGAGCTGTAAACTATCATTTGTAAATTATTCAGAATTGGGGGTTTTGGTGTAAAGTCTTTGTTTTTAATAGCACAAGCTTGCAAAACTCAAGACTTTAATGGAGAAGTAAAAGATACATTTTAATCCCAGAGACCCAATTGACTCTCATATAAACATTCATTTAATTCTGGTGAACAGGACTAGTTAAACACATATTTAAACATTTAAAACATTGCTATTCAACTAATTAAATAAGCATTTGTAGCATGAATAGACTAGAATATTCTTACAGAAAATGGTCTCCTGCTGCAACATGTATGTAGCACTACAGCAAAGAGATTTATTTTTAAAGCAAGAAAACATCAGTAATATAACAGTGTATGTTATGACTTTATTTCTTCTATACTAGGTGACTGATATAGATGTAAACAGTTTACTGATGGATGTTGGTTCAGTAGAGTGACAGTTGCTCAGTGCACGAACATTCATCTGCTGTATTCTGGCTGGCTTAGAAACCTATCAGGTGCTTCAGCCAATAAGATGCCAACTTACTCATAAAGCCTTTAAAAACCACTGTATTTGTATGATTAAACTGGTCTTTGGCTAAATCTAATAAGCTCAGCTATCCAGTAATGTGACTGATCATCACAGGTTCCATTTGGTATACTTCAGTAATTGACTGCAGCAATTTAAATGTAGAGGTCATTAGAACATCTTCTAGTTTATAAATGTACATCCATATTTTTCTCTGGTGAAAGCTCTGAATCATTCTATGGCTTATGGTAAAGGTCCTTCAGAGAGGGAAAACTTATGGGATGTAACAACACACAGGACATGCAAAGAGTGGTCCTGGATAAACAGGGATGGTAGAGCTTTGTTTGTACCTTATGACATCTGAGAGCGTGGGAAGGATTTGGATTCAGATAGTAAAGGACTCTTTAAAAAAAAAACCCGATTTCCCCCCCCCTGCCTCCTCCCAACACTTGGATTGAATTATACAGTACAAGATAAATTTTACAGCTGAACTGTAGTTCTTTTCATCCCTATACCAACCAACCAACTGACCAAAAATACCCTTTAATGAAAACAGTGACCATCTTAACATTGGTCCACATATTGTAACTACAATATAATTATTTGTTTGTGCTGGTCCTATTCTGTGTTTTTCTTGGTTTTGTTTTTA